ACAATCAACTGTTACTGGTCAGATAAAGACAAATCTCAGGGCACATAGTTATTTTCTTTAAATATTTGGTAAACTGTCAGGTGCACGGGATTATGTGTTGTCCCAAGGAAAAACTAGGTGCATGAGTGGTTAAGGTTCATGAGGAGGCCAGGTGGGGCTACACATGGAAAGAAGTGTAAAACAACTCCAGTTCATCAGCTTGAAGAAGGGGAGAGGCCCCTCACAGGAAGCTTTCCCACTGAGTCTGAGATGGCTGCGGGGATTCCATCAGGAAGGGAGTGGGGAAAGAAGGCAAGCAAGCATTCCTGCCCTGGGAGAGGAGTCAGGGTAATAAATATCTTCGATTCCATGTTCCTCACTTAAAGTAGCGTCCCCTGGTATGTGCCTGTATGCTACATGGACACACAGAGGGATGATATAATCAAAGGCTTGTGCTTCAGACTAATTTTACAAAGTATTTTAGGTTACTCGTGGTTATTCACACTGTGTTCCCTGGAACCCTCAGAGCTCAAGGAGGGCACCTTTCTTACACTGGTGAAGAGAGACTGAGAAAAGCAGTGCCCACCTCCCTACCCATCCCCTCCTTTTCTTTAACTAAAGTAATCCTGCTATCATTTGTGAATGTGTTGGACTTTTATTAAGTTTTCTTTGGCTAAAAAAAAAAAAACCAAGAAAGAAAAAAAAGTTTGAAGGAGAACTGGGCCAAGGAGAATTCATGCTCTCTCTCTCACTCAAACTCTACGGCCTCAGTTTCCTCATGTCAGAATGAGAGTGGGGCTGAGATAAGGACTTGTCCATCGTGAAATGTTAGGGTTCTGTGATTCTACACGTTTGCAGAAACATCTAGCTTCCAGGGAATTTTAAGAAAAAAAATAGAATACTTTTTAATGAAGTTAAGACTATCCTTACACTCAAAATACTTTTTGCCAGCTATTTTCATTAATGTTTTCTCATCCTTCTTGGTATTAAATTAAGGGCACCGAGCAATGCCAGTGACTCTCTGTGAGGGCCTCACTTTCCTCATCGATAGAATAATGGTTAGTGTCTTCTCAGGAGAAAAACAATACACATAAAGTCCTGTTGAGCAACGAGCTTATAATCAATGGAAGGGGCAATTATTATCATTAATTACTCTAAAAAACTAGAGCTGCATAAGGAACAAGATAGGCGGGAAGCTCACTGTGGGCGTTTCTTCCAACCTTATTTCTTGTAGACCTTGGGATCTGGCCTAATTTTACAAAGTATTGTTTTAAACATGGCGTGAGAAACCCCCAAATGTTCTGGTTCCAAGCATAATTTCCCATTCTGAGAAAAAAAATGGAATTGGAACGAAGTCACTGTTTTATTCCACATGCCACCCATGAGATATGTTGGCAGTGGCGCTCCACCAAGCTGGCAAGCGCCACCTGGCCCCTCAGGTGAACCCACAGCTTAAGGGCTTCTTCACAAGGAAGACAGGACAGAATTCACCCATGAGCAAAAACTTACATTAAACTTATACAAGGCCAAAAATCAACATAATTTTGGAAGACATTTCACTCAAGTCATCTGAGAGCAAGAAACAGCTTCCAGTTTGGTGCTCACCATGGAACATGTGGCTCGAGCTGACTCGCTCAGCGAGAAGCTTTGGAGAGAGCCTTCTGCGCGCCTTCATCTGGCCCCTCGTTAGTTGCTCCCGTTAACAACAAACATTTACTGAGGGCCTACTAAGTGCCAGGCACTATTCTAGGAATTGAGGCTACAGCGATGATGGACTCACAAGAGCTTACAGTCCAGTGTGGAGAGACTTACGATCAAGAAGTACGCCAAATAAACGGCTCCTATAGTCATGGCTGAGGAGGCCTAGACGAGTGCTAGGAAACACAACGACCCGTATTCTCTTCAATTCTCTTCACTACCTGGGCTTCCTGCCCTGTGCTCTAAGTGGACACGTGGTACCGAGTTGCCACAATCACATCTGGACACGAGAAAGCTGCAGTAGAGGTTGCAACTGCCCAGCTGAGAAGACTTTAAGGAAGTTCTGGTGGTGGCTTGCTTTTCAGAGTGTCTTTGATGATCATTATCACCAGAATCAAACCAGCGAAGGTGCCACCCTTTTAATTTGAATGTTTTGTAGCCTCCGAAGCAATAATTTTACTCTGACAGGACTTAAATAATCTAGGTAAGAGAAAACGATTTCTGGCTCAACGGCATTAAGAAAAGATGTTGCCACAGGCAGAATCAGATAACATGGCTAGGACTAGATTGTCCACTTTTGCATTATGTCCAACTATAAAAAAGATGAATGCCAAGAGTAACTAGGTTTAGTGGCTACTCTCAAGGAGCCAGTAGTCTACCTAGTCAACCACAAGAGAAGGCACAAGACACTAGAGAAATGCCTCAAACACAAGGAAAAAGAGTAATGGAATTACAGCAGTTTGTAGATAGTAGAGAGCTTGGAGAACGTCCATGCCCTTTCTCTGCATCCTCATCCATTCCTCCTCCCCCATTTCTGAGGAAGGGACAGAACCTACCAAGAGAAGGACAGGGGTTTGCCTAGTGGACATAGCTGGTGGGTTCAGCGCCTACAGCTCCATCTCCTGCTGTGTTAAAAATCAATGTTATATGTCTTAACTGACCCTTGGCAGGAAATGTTTTTAAAAATAAATAAATAAATAAAGAGGGAAAGAAAGCAAACACATTCCAAAATGGCAAAGCTACATTTCATCAAAAATGCCTTTGCTTGTTTAAAAAAAAAAAAGAGCCGTGTGCTGCCCAAATGATTATAATGGATTTGAACAGAACAGGTCTTTTTCAACTAAACACACAGTGATCTATCATTGGCATGATGTGTCTACAAATATGACCTTCAAGTTGTCAGTAGAACATGACAGATTTCCAAACGTGTAAGCTGTCTAAATAGAGGCCAGACTTTGAAGTCCCCCGTGTTCCATGCTGGCTCAGGCCACTCTGCCAGAGATCTGCGCTGGTGTTTTACCAGCCCAGGGTTCTACATTATTAGCAGTAAGACTGCTATACTAATAGGTGCCACTGATCCTGGCTCACCGGATTCTAGAGCTAAAGAACATATGAAATCATCTAGAAGCAAATGCCTCCTCATCTTGACAAAAAGAGACCCTGAGGCCAGTTACAACTTGGGTCAGAGCTAAGGCCCATCTCTCTGTGACTGTCTACATTTAATTCTGCCTTGATTTTATCAAATGGCAGGATGACGAGGTGTTTGCCGGGTCTTCTGGGGTGTTCTTGTGGCTCTATTTCTGCACACCTTGTGGCTCTCTGAAATGCCCTTGGGTTCCTTCAGCTCTGTAGGACAGACTGCAGAGCGTGGCTTCTGCCTCTGGCTCGGCGTTTCTTGAAGTGTTTCCTGCCAGACTGCTCTGTGGGCAAAACAACTTCAGAGACTCTGGACGCTACCTCCATGTGGAGATTCACTGTACACAGTGACTTATTAAATGCTCTTTAAAGTTCTGCAACAAGGTACCTTATGCAAACTGGCTTCCCAAAGACCCCTGTTCTAATGTCTCAAGGCACACATTAGGTGGCGCTGTATTAGCTAATTGCAAGTGTGTTATCTAAGAATCAAAGGCTAGACGGCTAATGATGACTTTCTCAAATATGCAAATAAACTCTAATCACTGAAAACCCGGGTGTTTTTAAATTTGCAATTTCAGGATTCTGAAATTGCTATTAATTCATGACTTAGGCAAGCAATGAGGATCTAGCAAATATTAATTTGGAACTCACTGGCTTTCAAATTCATTAGTTTGCTTGGCTAGTCATAAGTAGTAAACTTTTTAATATCAACATTATGGCTCATACTGTAAAACTGTATGGTTTAATTTTAAAAACTGCGTTTTCACCAGAGGTACCATCCATCATTATAAGACTCAGGTGCAACTTGGCATTGAAGGAGTATATCGAGGCCAAGGAAAGAATTTTTTTTTTAAGCAAAGAAACATACCGGATTACTGCTGTAGAGCTATTTGGCTACTTACAATATTTATCCTGGTTTGTAGGGTGTCTTTTTGTTTTGTAGCCTTTAAAGAGTAGAGGCAGAAGGAAGGGAGGTGAACAACTCTAAGGCTATTGCCCTTGATTTTTAGGCAACCTGGGTTATTTCAAGCCATCCTTCCCAGAACCCCTAGTTCGGTTTGATCGGTCTCCTGAGCAGCCTCCCACAGCTAATCACAAACCCCTAGTATCAAAGGCAGTGGAGGCCAGGCAGGTCCCCCACGGGTTATCCAGGGCATCCCATTAGGTTTCAAAGGCCTCCTTACCCTATCTCTCATACCAGAAGCTTATCAGGCAGGGCCGGGGGCATATGCAGAACTGTAATGAGGCCCAACTTCCGCCAAGGACAGAGCCTTCCTGCTCGGCTCTTGTGGCTCCTGCCTGTTGCTTTAGCTCTCTTGCTTTAGCTATCCTGGAACAACATCATTACGAAACATATTAAATGTCACCTGAGTGCCAGGGACTGAAGGGCCACGCACTGTGGATGTGGTCATGGGGCTCAAGGAGATGACCATCCAGACCTTGCCGCCCCTGGCTTTCTAGAACTTTGAAGCAAGGATATAGTCTGCACTTCATGCCTGGCTCCTGAAATTCCTCGTTCTTGGACATGGCAGGGCTTTCTTGTGTGTTCCAGAGTCCTACATTTTCACCTAGTAAGTCTCTTCGTTTATGGTACACGTTGAACTGCTTGTGTTTAACGCTAGCACCTTGATGCTAGATCCTCTGCAGGAGAAGACTGTTGCCACACCCCTGGGACTGAACTATCTTCAATACAAATCATTCACATGGTATTCCCTAAGGCTGGCAATTACTGTTACCCTCACTAGGCCGTGATATAGAGGACTATGACATGAGTTCTCTTTCAGAGCCCAAAAACCCTAACAAGAGTCAGATGGAATAGCTTCCCGGACCCTCCTTTATGGTGGTGGGGCGTGGTATTCAGTACAAGCTCAGACAGACCTGAATTTAAACCTGATTCTGCTACTTACCTAGTTGTGTGACCTTGGCTAAGTTACTCAACCTTTCTGAGTCTGTATTCTCATCTGGAAAATAAGAACAATACTATCAACCTCAAAGAGTAGTTACGGATATTAAATGAGAGCACCAGTATTAAGCACCTTGGAAAACAACGAAAGCATCAATAAAATCATCAACCTTTCATTGTGCCTACTCTGGGCCAGGTACTATTCTGAGTGCATTATATTTTACCTCATTTAATCCTCAGAGTAATATTATTATCCCCATTTTATAATTGCTAAACTGAGGTACACAGGCTAAGTAACTTGCCCAAGGTCATACAAAGTATTAAGCGCCAGAGCTAGGACATGAGTCCAGGCAGCCTGGCTCAGAGAGGGGTTTCTTAATCTCAGGACGTTCCCCTATCTGCTTACCCCAAAGAGTTGCTGACTTGCATGCAGGATTAGCCACTCAAACATGCACATATGGGGTTGTTAAAATGCACATGCATGTTTAGGTATGTTCCTGCCTGTGTACTTTGGGGCAAGTTATATAACAGGACTGTCCTCAGTTTCCACACCTGTAAAAGGCAGGTATTAACAGTTCCTCCTTCACAGAAACATTGTAAATAAATGAGTTAATCAAGATAAGGGGATGAGCCGAGTGCTTGGTGCTTAGGGCAGGCTCCATATATGAAGGACCTTTAACATCCAAAGTAATGAATAGTATGATATCTTAGGAGAATTCTTGGGTATCAGTGCTTGGTGAAGGCGATTTTGTGGCTAGCTGAATCCAGCAGTTTCAAATGACACTACTTGTTCTGTGGCAAACATATCGATTTAAAAATAGATTTAAATTCTGATTCAATCAAAGAGTAAATAGGTCCACAGGATTCTGGCTAGAAAGAAATAAGGCCAGGCCTAAATGAAATCAGACTGAAAGCAAGAATTTTAACAATTAAAAAAAAATATCAGCGCAGTCTTCCTAGGTTATGAATTGTATTCCACCCACTGGGTACATGTTATGGCTACCGGGCAAGGAGCTTGTGAAAAATTTACAGCCTGGTAAAAATCTTTGGGTGATATAGGTTAAAACAACTTGATTCCCAATGCTGCTGAATACCATGGATTTTAGAAGTGCAAAAGGGCAGCTTTTGTGAGCATGTTGGACATAAAACACCACATTAAAGGAAAAGCTAGAGAGCAGATAGGACCAAACTAGCTCAAGTGAGCGTTTCTGCCATAATTTTTACGGCATTGTATTTACTCATCTTACACCATGTTTAAATTTACAATAAAAAGCACACACACAAAAAATGTGCACCACTCGCTACTAGAGCCGTCTTTACATGTTTCACTGGGATACAAAACAGAAATTCACTGCTCGGATTTTGAGGGAAGGGGGAACTCATCTTATTTCATGCTTGTAGCTGCTGCCACAGCCGCAGCACCATGTTCCAATCATGGAATTCATAATGTAAATCTCTTGCAGATGATCCACTGGAAAGCTGACACGGCCATGGATCCAGAAACCTTCCCAAGTTCTCTTCCAAAGTTCTTATCTGTGGGCCCAGAGGCTGGCACTGAGCGTTTCATTCAATGAGTGAGGCCTGTTAGGAAACCTACATTCTTTGGGAGGCTTAATGAAGAACTTTCAACCCTTCCCTGACTATATAAACAGGCTTTACCATTGATTTCACCCATGACAATGCCAAATGTTTCACAACTGCCCCGACTTTATCTCTGAGTGTTCAAATCTATTCTGGAAAGGGTTTGTGTCGCACACATACCTGTGTAGCTTACGCTTAGTGCCAATAGAGCTCATAGAAATTACAGTTTTTAAAAACTGTAATCAAAAAAAGACCTCTGGAACTGTCCAGAAAAGAAGTTTTCTGGTTGTTAGATGCAAGATCTTTCCAAAGTTAGAACATTACAGGAGTCTTTTAAATTGCCTTAGGGACACCCCGGGGGGCCATCATCAGAACTTCAGGGTAAACCTTTTGTCTCTCTGCCATGTTATGGAAGTCTCCGAAACTGGCTTTGCTGTTCAAATCTAGACATCTGCAGCTCACCTAATTTTTGTTCTTTTTTAAAGGCAACACCCTCAGGAAACTCTTGGATATTGTGAGGCCTAAGAGTTGGGGGTGGGGAGGAAATCTTTGTCTCAACACATTCATCAGTTCCCTCCCCCTACTCAGCACCGCCCTCCCTAGAACCCCCTACACCCTCAGCACACACCAGCAGCTACTCCCCCAAATACACCAGGGCTGGAAAGATTCTTATTGCAATACCCTCCTGACATTCCTATTCCCGCCCTCATTTTAATTCACTTTTTTTTTTTAAAACAAAATGTAATTACTCGACTGTCAGCCTGGGCTGCACTCTGGGGCTTTTACTCCTTTCAACACAGCTGCGCTCCCGGCTTTGATGCTGCTGTCCACGCAGCTTGTCCCAGCCACAGCCTGGCTTACGGTAATGTAACATTCAAGTGCGTATTTATTTTTAAACTGACCTCTCCTAGACTGTACAGTATAAAGGAGGTCCTGCCAAAAAATATGCTACTTTCTATTTATAAGATGAAACACATGCCTCCCAAAGTCGAGAGGGGTATGGAGCATAATAATTCATAACGAAAAAATGACTGGCCAGATCCATTCGTCCTCACAAGTCTGATACTTGTCTGCGTCAAGACACTTTAGTTTCAAGAAGAAAGAAAAAAAATCTTGAAAACGTTTCAGCTGTTCAGAAACCACTGTCAAAAAAAAAATGCAGCTGCCAGATCTGCAGGTTGGAGCTCTGGCCACAATGCCCCTCTCCCCGCCCATCAAAGTAAGGAAAGGGCACTCGGAGGGTACTACCACCGCACATCTGCATGGTGCACCCATGTGCAGCCCTGGTGGCAATTCACGAAGGGAGGCGAGCGGTAGCCATGTGCAGCTTGTTCTCAGATGGAAAAATGCAATAAGCGCCCAGAATGGCTGTCAGTAGCTCAGAGGGTGCAGCCCCACCCTGAATAGTGGTGGGCACAAATGGTGGATGTCTGCGTCCTGGTCGTGGTGCCCAGACCCCTCCCGGTGTGTTTTATGTTCCCCTTGGTCCTCTGGACGCCATCTGGAAGGGGATGCCCTCAGTATCCTAGCTCCCTATGCGTTTCCAAGCCTAGCACCCCGCGCACGCCGGAAGCAGCCACGGCCACCGGTCCAACGGTCTCAGACAAGCAGAGGAAGGAGCCGTGGGCAGGCAAGCAACTCACCAGCACCCCCGAGGATCGCAGTCGTTGCCCCGGGACCCGGCGCCCCGCACCTAAGCCTCCGAAGGCGCGCGCAGTCCCCGCGGGCTACGCTCAGATCCAGCCGGGTGGGCCAGCGCAGCGCCTCCTCACAGCATTATCCGCTCCCAGACAGCGTGAAGGCGCCCGAGGCCGCGGGTCTCCAGGTTCGCCCGCCGTAGGTGCCCCGCAGCTGCGCTGCCTCCCGCCGAAGCCGCAGAAGGGAGGGAAGGTGCGAGCCAGACTGAGCGCGCGGCGGCTGGACTCCAGGACTGAACCTGCGCAGGGCGGGGCGGCGCGGGGCGGGGCCGCGGCACCGGGGGCGGGCTGGGGCGGGGCGGAGGGCGCGGGCGGCCCAGCAGACCCACCCCGCCTCGGTACCTGCGCCGCGCCCCGCGGGGAGCGGACGGGCGGGTGTCACCCGCAGCAGTGCCCGAGGGCGCACGGAGGACAATGGGCCCCTATTGTTAACGCCCCAGTGCCACCTTTAGGGTTTGTGGCTTCCCTCGGAGAAGCTGCGCTCCTCCACCTCAGCACAAAGAAAGGTCGCTAGACGTTCGGTTCAGAGGGACCCCGGGGTGCTAGCGCCAGGGTGCCGGAGGACAAAGGGAATCCGCCCGTATCCCGGACACCTACACTAAACCTCGTGCTCCCACCTCTCCTGGTCCCAACAAACCGACCAAGCCCAGCGAGGCTCTGGCGCGGAGAGTGACTCTCGCCACGAGAAGCAGGGCCACCTGACCGCGCTGCCCCTGACTTGACACGGGTCCCCGGGCCACTAGGATCCCGGGCTTGGGGGAGGGTCGTATACTGTCAGTGTACAGCTCGCTCCCTTTGGAGCTGTCGCCAAAACCCGGAGAGCGGACTTAGCACACTGGAGATGCCTGGGGCTGCCGGCTGAGCGAGTGGGCACGCGAACTGCCGACGCTGCAGGTTTTTCCAGTCCACGAGGAGGTGTTTCCTTTCTCGCGGGTCCCTAAAAGAGACTTGCCTAAAGCTGGAGCAAGCGGGTAGCGGGTGGCGGCTGCCCCGGACGCGCTACAAGGCGCAAGTGGCGCAGCTGCTGGCGGAGAGAGTAAAATTCCACCCTGGCGACACCTGCGCCTGCCGGTCATTCCGGCGACCGCCGCTGCACGCCCCGCCCCTCCGCCTGGAGGCCGAGCGAGGACCCTGTTAATTAATTTTCTTAATCCGTCTCCGTCTCTCACTCCTCCAGTCGTCAGCCAGGGGAATGAGTAGGCGACAGGAAAGGGCGGCGTTTTCCGGCTGTAAGGTCCCAGCCTGAACCGTTGGCCTGGGAAGGGGGCTGGAACCCAGGGAAGTCGGGCGCTCCAGGCCTGGCCCCAGCCCGGGGACCCTCTGGTTGGATGGAAATCCAGGCACAAAGCAGGGACCCTCCAGGGGACTTTGACTTTTTAGAGCAGTATCATCCTTGGGTCATCACCGCAACGCCCTTGGATCTGTCTAAAACCTTAGAGGATGCGTGTTAAGCCCACGTTGTAAACCACGACTGACGTTAAGGTGAAGTGAAAAGGAAATGGACACAACTGCTCTGGAAAGCAAAATACTTGGGTGGAGCGTTAAAAGCCTCAAAGAAAATAATAGTTGGCAGGTCAAATGGACGTGAGGTTGGAAGTCAAATGCAAAACTCAGCTGAATGATGTTAGAAATCTGACAAGCAAAACAGTCCATGAAGATAAGAGACCCGGCATTGTTTCCTCTCTGCAAATGGCAATTGCTCTGAAGTTTCCTTTGGCATATACCTGGATTTTACACCAGATTCCTGAGAATTTTACTTGGGGTTCATATTTTTAAATATATGTTCCATTTGGCATTGATGTATATATTTTATGTATGAATTTATTGAAAAATATTAAATGTTACTGGCCTACTTAAAGGTATTTTTATAAATTTTTTATGCATAGCTTTCATTGCATGTGGTATTTTCATGAGTACAAATAATATGTATATATATTAAATACCACATGAAAAATTCCTTTTGCACACACATTCTTGACACATGTGTCTTGTATATAGAACTGCTTTCCTGTTTCCTCTAAAATGTGGACTTTATGTACTATTGTATCTTCCATACCTAAAATGGGGCCTGGCACATAGTAGGTACTCAATAAATATTTATTGAATAAGTAGCCCCTTGACTACAATTTGCTCTATTGTTAGCTGCTTACACTTTATTGCCACATGCTTAAGTAAGTAACTTTTGTACAGTTCCTGCAATCATAGAGTATCAGGTAGCAATTTTATTCCAAAAACCTATTCTCACTTTTCTGCTCCGTTCCTCACTTTCTAGAGGCTTTTCCTCTGTGCCCTTCCTTTACGAGGCTTCACTTCTGGGCACTAAACAATTTATTCAGAGCCTGCCCCTTCAAGGGCCTGATGGTGCTGATTTGATTTATCCTGGCTTCTTTGATGCTCTACGTTATTTATTTGTACTGAACATCTTTCTTGGCACCGAACATCTCCAGTGAAGGAGAATTCCCTCATACGGTGAACTATCCTTTCAAACAAATGCATTTCTTGTACTAACTATGATGGCTTTTAGGTTTGATGGATTTTGATTTTAATGTGGAAGAGAGAGAAAAGCTTTGCCTTGGGAAGATGTTAGGGGCTCTGAGTTTCTGCTCTGAATTACAAAAAGGTGTAGCCTTGAAAAATTGGTGGTAACCTTAGAAGCCTAAGTGAGACTAAGAAAGTGGACATAGAGAAGATATTTTAACCAGGTTCAATTAATGCACTAGTATCTGTAGAGCAAGCATCTGTCAGGCCCAATGATGGGCTATTTTTCTGTTAGTCTGGATTGTGGGAGATGAGCCAAGATATGTCAGCAGTACCCTCGCGGTCCAGAAACCTGCAACCTACTTAAGGGGCAGACAGAATGTGCCAGTGTATACAAGCAAGTGCTGACTGGAAATATTCTAGCCTCTTGCCACCAAGACCAGCAGCACCAAGCCTTACTCCCTGGCCACTGAATTGGAATCTTCATTTTAAATGAAATGTAGATGGTTTGGGTGCCCATTTGATGTTTGAGAAGCACTGGTCAAGAGTAGTGGTTCTCAATCTTTTTAAATCACAGACTGATTTAAAATCTCACGGGACTTATAAACACTCTTGTCAGGAAAACACGCACAGAGAGTTACACAAAAACTGTTTCCCATTCACTTTCAGGGGTCCCCTGAACAGCAGTCTGTGGGTGAGGAAGTCCTCTGTAAACGCCTCAGGTCACTGAGCCAGACGAGCCATTCAGTGTCAACCAGAGGAGTGAGGGGAGGAATCTTACAGGAGAAAGAACTTAAGTTCAGCTTTGAAATATGGGAGAAACTGAATGCGAGGAGGAGTCAAGAAGGGCATTTCAGGCAGAAGGAAGGCATAAGTAAACAAGATAAGGAAATAAAACAACAAATATGCATTTTTATGTGGAGTAAAGAGACTAGTTTGATAGCAGGCTTTCCTTGCAATTTATTATCATTGTTTGAACCTCCAAGAAATGAAACTGGAATGTGGACTCAGTGGCCTTTCCACTTCAGGGGCACTGGGAACCTTGTGACATATGGTTTTATGTAAGACGTCATTTCCGATTACTAGTTTGCTCTCCCATTCACTCTGCCCTGGCCACATGGCCTTCAGGTCTTTCCAGAACTCCAACATTGCCTGGGGCACTCCATCTGCCAGACCACTTCCCCAGATAACCAAAAGAATCCATTAAGGTCTTTATTCAGATGAGACTTCTGGGGAGAGGCTATTTCTCTCAAATAGCAGCCCTTCCCCCATTCCATTTCCCAGCTTAAAGCTTGTAGACTTCTTTCTTACCTGACAGTATATTTATAGATTTATTTATGGCCTGTTTCTTCAAAAATGTGGGCTTTGTGTACTATTGTATCTTTCATCCCTAAAATGGGGCCTAGCACCTGGTGGGGACTCAATCAATATTTATTGAATAAGTAACCCCTTGATTACAACCAGCAATGAGTGTAAAAGCCATGTTCACAAACTCCACAGCTCCAGAAATATTAATATAGCAAACATTCCTGAAATATACCGCATGTATGCTGAGACTGAATTTCAACCACTTTTCTTTAGTCTAGCTGAACAAGAAATACTAAACACATGGAACATTTTAAGTTCTAAAACTCAAACATTTTAAAGTAAGGCTTACAAAAAATGTCTTTATAGTCCATGTATAATGCATAACTATTTCTCTTCTGGCAAAGCTGCAACACTCATGTGTACTCAGCTGGGTTTTTCCTCCAAAATGCCACATTCAGACTGAATTTGTGTGTGCATGTTCTCGATTATGCCCCTAAGTTAGATGTAAGGAAAAATGTAAGAGAAGGTGGAATATTAGAACATTTTGAATGAGAATGTCTTTGTAGCTGGAGGATTCCCTTCTTTGCTACCCAATTAGAATTTCACCACTCCTGGAAATAAAGTTAACCAGTGCTAATGAATTTGGTTGAACAATTGCCAAGAGCTAAAGCATTTTCTAAGCAGTGACTTCCTTGTAAATAAAGAACTTCAGATCATGGCTTGGTTAGAAGATTTTAGTTTCACCTAATCAAATGCAGCAGGAAATGGTGCACTAGGAGACTATGAGCTTGCAAACAGCAGGCCTAGCATAGAGTTCTGAGCAGGTTAGCCAGTAACTCTCAGTAACCCAATTCTAGGACCCTTTGGCATTTGAATTATTGTAGCTTTTGAACTCAGGCAGTACCAATTTTATTTGTGGATAAGACCTTCGAATATAGATGCATAGTTGATCCTGGTTGTTGACTGGAAACCAGTAACTAATAAACAGTGTTACTTTATATAGCCTTCCATGCTTTAAAAAACCCTTTATGTTCATCTCATTTCTTGTTTGTCTTAAGTTGTTTGTCCATGTTTGGTAGATAAGCCCCTTTTGAGTGATTTACTCTTTTGCTTCTTTTGGAAGGGATTTGAGGCAACTTAAAAAGCTTTTGTGTGTAATGAGTCCTTCCTATGGTATTCTTGGTGACTGCTTTTTCTCCAGATACCTGTATGTCTTCTTCCTTAGCTTGTTTAGGGCCCCTGCTTAAATGTTAGCTTCCCAGAGGCCTTCCAATACAATCTATATAAAATATCACCCATAGCCCTTTTTATCTCTTTACCCCCTTTATTCTTCCTAACATTTATCACCCAACATATTGAATATTTACTTCTTTATTATCTCCTCCACCCCACATCACTAGAAGGTAAGCTCTGTAAGGGCGGAAGCTTTGCGTATTTTACTCACTGCTACATAAGTGC